AAGGGCCATTGGAATATTTGTAGAAATTCCATTGTATCTATAAGTTGTTTTAGATATATGGACTTTTAATAATATGAATCTTCCAATCCAGAAAAACAAAATGTCTTTCCATGTATACTTCTTTTAAATTTATTTCAGCAGTTTCTTGTGGCTTTTTTTTTTCATAAAGATTTATTTATTTATGCATACAGAACTGGGGTATAGGCCAGAGGTGCAGGGGCAGAGAGAAGATTCACCAGACACAAAGTGGGGAGCAGAACAGGATGACTGACGAAGTACACTGCTGAGGGGAGCAGTGGGCGGGTCAGGCGAGGTCTGCTGCGCCATGTGGGTCACCTCTGGGTTGGGGGTCAAACTCATGCTAAAGTGGCTTTAACTTCTTACTGCTGCACTTTAACCTGCTGTGCCACCAGGGAGGGTCCTGTTTCTTGTAGCTTTTAATGTTTAACTCTTTGCCTCTTTTGCTAAGTTTATTTAAAAGTATTTTATTATTTTTGATGCTGTTGTGCATGGGATTGTTTCCAGGATTTCCTTTTCAGATTTTTTTTTCATTGTTAGTATATAGAAACACAACTGAATTTTTGAGTTTGATTTTGTATCCTGCAATTTCACTGAATTTATTAGTTTCTAACAGTTGTGTGTGTGTGTGTGGTGTGTTAGTGTGAGTGATAGGGTTTTCTTTGTATAGGAGGAGGTAATCTGTAAATAGAAACAATTAAAATTTTTAATTTCTGATCTGGATGCCTTTTATATATGTATTTATTTATTTTTTGCCTTATTGCTCTGGTTAGGACTTTCAGTACTGTGTTGAACAGAAGTAGTAGAATGGGCATTTTGTTCCTGATCTAAGGAGCAAAAGCTTTTAACCATGGATATGACAGTAGTTTAGATATTTTTATATATGCTCTGACTTTGTACTTAAAAAGGAAAGATGTAAATGACATCATTCAGTATGATTTTTGCCTTTGCATATGATTAAATGAAATAATAGATTACATTTAAGAAGGAATGAGCCAGACAAGACAGACAAATTAATACAATTGAAAGAAACAATGAAGTTGGATCTAAAACCATGGCTTATTTCCTGGATAAGTTAGCTTATGGAGAATTTATTTTCTGATCCCATTGCATTCTGCTTTTACCCAAAGTACTTGGCTCAATTCAAGAGAGCCAACTAGTGACCACTGAATTGCAGAACGGGTGGTCTTTTTTTTTAAAATTTCTTCTCCCTTAATCTCTCTGTAGCATTTAACACCATTTTAAAAATGAATTTTAAACATGAGAAATTAAATATACTTTAAAAAATTGAGGTAACATTAATAGCACCATAGGTTTCAGAGGTACATAATCTCATTGTACTGGTACTGTTGACCAACCTTGTTAACTGTTTCTTCACTCAGTTTTCATGTCTTTGTGTTTCTACTACCACTTTGACTGCTTGTTCAGCCATATAATTCCTCTTCCTCCTGTCAGTTGTGATTGTGTGTAGTCCGTGAACTTCTGTCTTTGATTTCAGCTCTTTTCTTACTTTATGTTCTCTCAATCATCTCTTTGACCATGGCTACAGATAGTTCACACATGTACATATCTGCCTCTTTTTTTAGGTTATAGTTCCATTTCTTTTTTTTTTTTAAAGATTTATTTATTTATTCATACAGAACTGGGGTACAGGCCAGAGATGTGGAGGGTGAGAGGATTCACCAGAGACAGAGCGGGGAGCAGAACAGGCAGATCGACGAAGTACACTGCTGAGGGGAGCAGCGGGCGGGTCAGGAGAGGTCTGCCACGCCATGTGGTCACCTCTGGGGCAGGCGGGAATCGAACTCATGTGGAAGTGGCTTTAGCTTCTTAGTGCTGTGCTTTAACCCGCTGCGCCACCAGGGAGGGCCTAGTTCCATTTCTTTGATAACCTTTGGACTCCTTTTTCCAAATGTCATGCCAGAACTTCAAGTTGAGGATGCCCATGACTGAGCATTTTATCTCACCTCATCCCATGTTTTTGTCCCCTGCATGCTGTTATTACTTCCTAAACATGATGTAATATGCTTGTTCCACAAAACACAGACTTCTGCCATGTTTTTGCTCATGCAATTTCCTTTGGAAAACTTTTCCTTGCTGTCTTCAATATATGATAAGGTCTGCCTTAGATAATCTTCTTTTCTGCTAAGTAATGGTCTGTGCTGCAGGTGACCAGTGTATTCTTTCCTCTAAAAGTTTTCTTTGTTTTTTTTTTAATTTAATTTTATTTTTTTTATTAAAAAGTTTATTTTTACATCATTTTGCACATTTTTTTTTTCATCTCAATTGTAATCCCCACGGGTTTCCCATCACCAAATCACCCCTGTGCCACCACCATAGTCCCGTGCATTTCCCTCCCTTCCCCCCCCCCCGTTTTTCTTTGTTTTTTTTTTTAAAGATTTATTTATTTATGCATGGAAGAACTGGAATATAAGCCAGAGGTGCTGGGGGGTGAGAGGAGCATAACAGGTGGATTCACTGAAATACACTGCTAAAGGGAAGTGCCGTGTGGGTTAGCTCCCTATTAGGGATTGAACTCAGGTCATTGTGATAATAGTGTTGAGACTTAACCCTAAACTACCAGGGAGGCCCCCTTCTCTAAAACCTTTCAGTTGGGGGTTCTTTAGCAGCCTGCTTCTTAAAGTTATAAAGCAATTTGGGATTTGATCTGTTTGCTTTTCCAGCCATAAGCCCTCCATTCCCTCTCAGGCACTGTTATCTAACAAAGAGTGCACATAGAATCACTTCTTGTTTTTTGAGCAAGGCTGTGTTCTCTTGTGCAATGTCATTTCATCTGTGTGGCCTAGCTTCCGCTTACTGCTTTTTAGGGGCATGGGTAGGTAAGGGTTAATGGTGGTGGCCTTTGAAACTAGTACTGCAGTTTTCTTCCACCATGAAAAAATGTCCCATCTACTGAATTGTACAAGTAATTTGGTATAAAAGAGCCAGCATTTGAGCTTTGATTAAAGCTCTGGTTTTGATAATTACTAATCATGTAAATTTGGTACCTAATTTTTTCAAACCCCTACTCGTGACCTGTAAAATAGGAACAATATTTAACCTTACATAGGCTAATCTGAAGCTTAAGTGAGAAACTGCATATAAATGCCAGGAACATGCTAAGTCCTTGATAGATGGTATTAAAGAAGAAAAGAAATAAATGAGAAACTGCAACACAGCTTTTCCTTCATGGGGTCAGTTGTGTGCAACGGGGATGTGAGCAATGGTGCCAAGCTGAGCTCCAGTGCTAGAGGGGGAGTGCAAAGCATGTCTTATCACCACGCAGGAACTGGTTTCCCAACCATAAATTCTAGTGAGAAATCAAGAAAAACTTCCTGCAACCATTTAGTGATTTCTTCCTTATATTATTCACAATACTTTGTTCATATCTGTCTAAAAAGAAATACTTTATATTGTCCTGCCACCCATTCTGCTTACTACAGTGCCGCTTCCATATTGTCCCAGAATTTGGGTCCACCCTGCAGAAAATGCAGATTGTATGTTAGTCCCTTCCACTCTTTAAGTACAGATAAATCTTGACTTCTTAACATGAATTATAAATTAAGAGTCTTCCTTTCACAGTGCCCATTTATCATTGTTTTCTGTCCAGTATTTGAAATCTTTTCTCATATTGGGGAAATTGTATAGTATTTTGGTGGAGGACAGGACTTGTCTTAGACCTCAGAGATGGAAATGTTCAGATACTCACTTTCCTTGTTCCTGACACCTGGAGCATAGGAAATGTTACCTGGCTCAGCCAATGGGATTTGAATCTTCAGTGAGTGACATAGAGGATCTAGGGCTGAGTCATGGCGACGGGATCATGTTACCTTGAGAGTGGCACCTCCACTCTGCTGGCCCCAGATTGTCAGTTGTGGGTCTGACTTCCTTCTGTAGCTTGGTAACAGCTCATACTCTGAATATTCTGGATCGTATGTTTTATCTGTGAAGTTACCCATTGTTTTTTCTATTAAATTTTTATCTGTTTAAAGAAAGCCTGTGGTTTCTGTTATAGTCTTGACTTACACTATATCTAGCACATTAAACTTCCTATGGTTCTTTGAAATGGACTCCATGGTTTTCTTTATTTCTGGTCTTCTTCACATTCTCTTCTACCTGGAACATTTTACCCTGACTCTAGATGTTTCTCTGGAAGGCAGTTCTTTTGTCTTGTTACTGTTTTTGCAAAAGTTCTCCCAAATCCTAAGAAAGGGTTAGTTCCTCAGGGTTTTCACAGAACCCTCAGCTCACTTCTTTTACAGTGCATGTCATTATATTGTAATTATTTTTATATTCTTTGAAGGTATATGGACTAGTTTAATATTAAATATCTGCATTGTCCTGGCAGATGATAACTACAGACTAAATATTTTATCTACTGAATGAAAAATTAGTGAATTATACATGTATTACATGAAAATTTACCTATTTGCATCTGCTTTCAAACTGAATATTCTAAGAGCAGATGCCAAGTCCTTCTCCTTATATCCTTAATTTGTAACACAGTACTTTGCTCACAACATATACTGAGGGAATGCAGAATGTATAATTCAGTGATAGACTGGCAGGGCTGTCTTTTTAAAATTTCACTGGATTAGTTTTTCCCAAAAGAAGTATCTGATTATCAGGTAAAGATGATATATGTGTATGTGATTCTTATTGAGTATAGGTATCCTCACATGGCAATTCTTACTCAGAGGTAAGAATTGGTATTCTTCTCTGTGCCATGATTGGTAGTATTTTGTGTGCTGAGTGAATGATAATGGACATATATTCAGATAAGGTAAGAATGTTACTAAGTGTAACATTGAGCCATTAAAAACCTGGAACTTAGGCAAATACTTTGGAAATGGTTTTTGGATAATTGAATTGATTATACATGAAAAAGTCTGTAGTAGGCTTTATCTTTCTAGTTTACTTGGCTTATATACACTACTTATTTTGGGCTGGTTCATAGGAGTTTTTTCTCATTCCTTTTTTAGGTCCAAGACAACTTTGACAAGATTGAATTCAATAGAATGTGTTGGACCCTCTGTGTCAAAAAAAACCTCACAAAAAGTCCCCTGTTCATTACAGAAGAAGATGCATTTAAAGTATGGGTTATTTTCAACTTTTTATCTGAAGACAAGTATCCATTAATTATTGTTCCAGAAGAGGTAAGATGTGTTGGCTCACACAGTTTTTAAATGACCATCTCAATATTTGATAGACCTAGCTTGGAAATATTTATATTAACTAAGTATAGAATAGGAGATCCTAGATGTCTGTTTTTTTTTTTAAGATTTATTTATTTATGCATACAGAACTGGGGTACAGGCCAGAGGTGCAGGGGCGGCGAGAGGCTTCGCCAGAGACAAAGTGGGGAGCAGAACAGGCAGACCGATGAAGTACACTGCTGAGGGGAGCAGCGGGCGGGTCAGGAGAGGTCTGCCACGCTAGGTGTCTATTTTTGAATCAGAAGCAAAACAGCTGGCATTGAGAAAAATTTAAAACTCAGTGATTTGGGATCATGTAATAATACCCCTGGAGATTTGCAGATAGGGTGGGATTCTTCCTTTCTAAATTGCTATAATTATAGATGTTCATCCTTATGTCAAAAGATTCTTTATTCAGTATGTCACAACATAATTTTCTGTCAACTTGCATATTGGCAAAATCCGAAAAGCTGGCTGAGAGATGCTTTTTGGGAAGCATATAGAATCCAAATGTTGTTTTCAGGGCTGTTCTATATAAGGAAATCCTATTTTTGTTTCAGAGTTCAGGATGGTGACTTTTTTTTTCATCTTTTCCAAAAAAATGAAAAAGGGCATCTGCTTGTTTTGTTCTATTTTCCTGAGCTTCCAAAGTGGGAAAAAAACAATACAGGAGTAAGGTTTCTATGCTTTCCTACTGTTTTAGCAATTATAAATGTTATATATATATATATATATATATATATAAATGTTATATATACATACATATATATGTAGTTTATTTATAAATGTTATATATGTGTGTGTATATATATGTATATATATGTGTATATATATATGTATGTATATATATATATATATAGTTTATTTTTGCATCATTTTGTGCATTTTTCCATCTCATTTGCAATCCCCTTGGGCTTCCCATCACCAAATCACCCGTGTGCCATCACCATAGTTCACTGCATTTCCCTCCTCCTGCTGTTTTTGATCCCATTCCCCACTCCACCCCCACAAAATGTCTCTGGTATATAGCTGTTCATTATCATTAGTTTCTCGCCTGTTCCATTATATTCCTGCTTTGAGAGAAATAAGGGAACACACTTTTTTTTTTTTTTTAGTATTTTTACTTTTACTTTTATTTATTTGTGTTTTACTTTTAAAAAAACAATATTTGCTTTCTTTTCTCAGGTGTAGTCCCCATAGAATTCCTACCACCAATTCACCTGTGCACCATCACCACATGGCCTTGTGTTCCCTGTGTTGTTTTGATCCCTCTCCCTCCTCCTCCCTTGCAGGATTTCTCTGATTTATAGTTGTCTGTTTATTTTTGTCTTTTTCTGTTGTGTTTTTTATTTTTATTTCCCCCCCTGATTCCTTGTTTGGCTCCCCTGTATTCCTCCTATAATTGAAACCATCTGATATTTTTCTTTTTCTTTCTGGCTTCTTTCACCAAGCATTATCCCTTCTAGCTCTATCCAGGTTGCTGCAGATGACATTAGTTTATCTTTTTTGATTGCTGAATAGTACTCCAGCACAACTCACAGGGAGTGCTTTTTAAGAGAGGCAATATAATGGAGTTGCTAAAAGCAGGGTCTTAAACATTTTCAGTAAAGGGGCAGACAGTATTCTGCCTCATTGTTTACTAGCTATGTGGCCTCAGCAAAAACAAACCTAATTTGTTTTTGCTCCAGCTTTCTCAACTAATCTAATGCAAATATACATATACACTGCCTGCTGTTCTTGTGAAGATCAAATGAGAAGAATGTCTGGTCTTTAGAAAACACTAACTATTTGGGGGGAAAACAGCATTTGTGCTGGGTCTAAGTAACAAGAAGAATTTTGACTAATGGAGAAGGCAGATGGGAATTCTAGGTGAAGGAAATACTGGGCAAGGTTATATGAAACAAGAAAGTAAAGACATGTTTTGAGATGAGTGACTTATACTGCTTGACTGAATTGCCTGTCAGCATGCTGACTGGGAAATTGACTGACTAAAGCCAAAAAGGAATTTTTAAAAGGATGTTGGGTACCTTACAGAATCACTTTGATGACTGAAATGCTACATGTGGAGGCAGGGAATATAGCTGGTGATTCCAGTGAGGAACCACGAGAAAAATACTGCTCCCACGTCCATCGTGCTGTCTCACTGGTGCATGGCACACCTCTGGCCTTGCACACTGGGTGCTGCCTGGGAACTCAGATCTTCCTGCACCTATTCTTGCTGCCAGGGAGCATTCTCTATAGTGCCTATATTCCAATTTACAGTTGGGGGTAAAGGCATGTAATCAGTTGGCCTCAACCTGGTTTCATAATCTAGCAGCAGAAGATGCTTGAGAAGGGTACATTTACACATTTTGCTTCTTTACTGAGAGGTAGAGGACTCCCAGGCATAGAAGGAAGTTATATACTTGGCAGCTAAAAAGAATGACTGGAACATTCTAACTGGAACATGATGACTGTGAAGAAGAGTGATGGTACATGAGGCTGGAAGCGTTCTGACTTTATCCTGTAGGTGGTGGGAACTGCAAGCCATTAATAACTTTTGAGCAGAAGAGTGACAGGTGTATGTATATATATTTAATTTTATTTATATGTATATATTATACACCATTGTTCATTAAAAAATTATATATACATTTAAAAATACATGTACATTTATATATACATTTAAAATATGTACATATATATACAATTATATATACATTGTACAGTATATATTTTCTATTATCAGGTGTATCCCTTGTATAATGCCCACCACCAGTTCACCCTTACACCATCACCATAGTCCCTTGTGTGCTTCTCTCTCCTGTTTTGATCCCTCTTTCTCTCCCACCCTTGCAGAATGCCTCTGATTTATAGTTGTCTGCTAATTTTTAAATTGTAGTTATTGTTTTGAGTGACAGGTATATTTATGGTGAAATGTGGGAGATGTGAAAGATGGGAAGTTCAGAGAAGGTCAGTGACATGGAGGACTAAAATATAATAGTGTCAGTGAGATTAGAGAAGATGGTCAGGTGGGAAGAATCTAGACTTCACAGGACCAAGCTCTTAGTGCCTGGTGGTGGGAAACTACAGACAAGTTTCATGCTGGGGAAACCAGGAGGTAATACAGTGTAGTTGTTTAAAGGGTGGTTTTTGAAATAAGACTACCTGGTTTAAATCCTGACTACCATTTTCTTAACAGATTAATTGATGATTATATTTGTTTTCCTCACCTATGGGGGATGGAAATGACTACTTTCTCTACTAGGTTCTTATGAGGACTAAAATAACTTGTGTATATGGAGCATTTAACATAGTATCTGGATCCATGATAAGTGCTCACGAAATGGCTGTGTGTGTGAAAGAGAGAGCGAGAATGAATAACATGATAATCAACTAATTGGGAATGTGATGTATGATGATGGGTTTGGTACGTTTGGCTTTTTAGGTTGAACATCCCTGTGGAGCTGTCCCAAATTCCACTGAAGTGTACATCTTGAGCTTATATGAGGCCAGGGCTGGAGAACAAGGAGGGAAACCATGGGAGTAGGTTAGGTCAGAGAGGAAGAGGATGTAATGGGAGAAGTAAGGGCTGAGGACAGAGCCTTGGGACTTGTTTCTGTAGCAGGAAGAGGAAGTAGATTTAGTGAAGGAAGCTGAACTGAACAGTCTGAGGTAGGAGGAGAACTGGGAAGGTGTTGAGTCATAGACGTCAAAGAAAGAAAAAGTTCTAAAGAGGAAAAAAGTAGTTACTGACTATAGTTGTCAGAGAAAATTAGAGCGTGATGAGTGAGAAGCTGCCCTTGGATTTAACAATGAGGCATATTCATTGGTAATCAAGGAAAAGGCAGTGTCATTGTAGTGGTGGGAACAGTTTCTTTGTGCTTAATAACAATAATGAAATTGTACATGTATGTTAAAGGGAAAATAAAAGATAAATTATGTGGGCCTCCCTGGTGGTACAGGGGATTAAGTCTCAGCGCTATGAACCTATTGCCCACCACTACAGCATGAGTTCAAGTTAGATCTCTGGCCAGGGAGGTGACCTACATGGCACAGCAGGCCTCTCCTGTTCTCCTATTCTCCTCAGCAATGTATTTCAGTACTACTGCCTGTTCTGCTTCCCATTCTGTCTCTGGTGAGACACTCCCCATACACAACCCTGGCCTACACCCCAGCTCTTGTATGGATAAATAAATTTTTTTTTTTAAAGATGTATTTATTTATTCGTACAGAACTGGGGTATAGGCCAGAGATGCGGAGGGTGAGAGGATTCACCAGAGACAGAGTGGGGTACAGAACAGGCAGATCTACGAAGTACACTGCTGAGGGGAGCAGTGGGCAGGCCAGAGAGGTCTGCCACGCCATGTGGTCACCTCCGGGGCAGGCGGGATTCGAACTGATGTGGAAGTGGCTTTAGCTTCTCAGTGCTGTGCTTTAACCGGCTGCGCCACCAGGGAGGGCCGGATAAATAAATCTTAAAAAAAAAATGTATTTTAAAATTTTGATCCTACTTAGTAAAGAGATATATAAAGGGAATAGAATATTGTTAGAGGTAGGATAAAATATACCCATATTCCAACCTAACTGCTGCTTGGAAGAATTATGCTAATAAAATCTCCAGTATTATTTCTGAAAACTTTTTGTAGTTATACTCAGTGTTCCAAAATCATTTGTGTTTTCTTTGGAAATATGAGGCAGGGTGGGTCTCTATCCCATGGTGTTTTGGCTCTTTCCATCATAGTGGAGAAATTTTCATGGTGTACTTAAAAAGGATGTCGTCCTAATTTCTGAAATAGAAATTAGTGAGTAAAGAGGCTTTTTCTTCAAGATAGCACTTAATGGATGTGAGGAATTGTCATTGACTTTCAATCATCAGTGCAGCCTCAGGCAATGGAAGGAGTCAGTCAGCATTAGCTTCCTGTTTGCTTTACTGAAGAAGCTACAAAGAGTTTTGCTCCAATTGGTACAAAGAACTGGGACCCTCATGAGCCTGGTGTGTGCTGTGGCTCTGTCCTGTTCTGTGCATCAGAGCACAATTGACACCTTGCAGCATGCTTACCTTCATTTTTACAGGCTGGCAGGAGTGTTTCCAAGCAAGCGACACTCATTTGAGAAGTCAAACAGCCTCTTTGACTTGTTAGAATAGCCTGGTAGCATACCTTGTCAGTTTACTCTTCGGACTTATTATGGATCTTTATGTCCTGAACTTCTTCAGCATTTCTTATGTTTAGAAGTAGAATTAGTTTTACAGATTATTCCCCTATGGCCAGGAGTACAGGAGTGGCCAGTGTCTGGGAAAAGAAAAGATCATTGCAACATTTTTATGTGGAGTTGCTTTATCAGGCTGCTGAACCATTCTCCTGAGGTTTAAAATAACAGCCTTGTGATTTATTGAGCTCTGAGCACATCTCCTGGCCTTTGACTTAACAGTGCAAACTCGGGGTCACACTATTTTGTGGAAAACACTAGAGTCATAATATTTCTTAAGGGGCCATTCTCTGTTATATTTTGCTTTCTTCCTAAAGACTGCAATAACATTTAAAAACTAGTTTGACCTAGACTTAACAAATCTAACAAAATTAAATGTGAAAGCATGCATATGAAATTATGTCTGATTTTTCATGAGTGTATACATATGTTTAATATATCATCTTACAAATGGCTTTTAGGCTTAATAAATTTTATGTAATTTCTTAAATTTATGTTTTCATTACTCCAGCTACCATAATGATCATTTTCATTTTGTTTAAATCCAGGTGTTTATAAAGTAAGATTTTATTCTCTAGCTTCAATTAATACTATATAAGAAATAAATGTCAGTGGTAGCTTTATGAATAGCAAAAGTTTGCTTTTGACTCAGTTTTCTATGCAAAAGTTAAAAATATTATGTTCCTATTTGAGGTGGTTTTATAACTCTTCAAGTGATATTCTTGGAAATGTGTGTCTGTAACTTACAGTTTTCACATTAGTATTCATTTTCCACAGAATCAAGAACAAAACAGGATGTGTCTGTTGTAGGCTTATTTGGAAGAACTACTTTGATGCAATTGAGTATCAAACCTGAAATAATTTTTAGAAGACTCAACGAAGTGCAACCTGAATTGTTATTAAAGCAATGAAAATCCCTTTAAATGATGACAGGGAAAGAACTTTTAATAAAGTAAATTGTGGAGCCAAAGGCCTCAGAAATCACATGCCACTTGAAAGTTTATTCTTTGTTATTTTTGGTGAAGCTTAGTTGGAAGGAGGAAGTAAGCTGCTTCCTGAAACTGAATGAGCTCTTAGAATTGAGGCAGGCCACTTGAGACTAACAGGGCAGCACGTGATTTATTATTTAGCACAATTGAATAGATGAGAATGGCAGTGTTTGTCTCTCATTGGCCAATATAATGAATTAAGTTGTCCTTATGTTATTATATTATGATAAGTATACGATTGTGTTGAAAGCTAACAGGAAATGAATCTAGATTAGTTTGTGGCACGATCACTGGGAATACTGAGCAGGTGCTGGGTGCTGATGACAAACTCAGGAGGGTTTGGGAAAGCACCTTTAGGGAGCTTCAGGATGAGCACCTGCCTGCAGACCTGAGCTTGCAGAGAATGCCAGTAGGCACTGAGTTAGACAAAGGGAAGACCATCCTGTATACAACAGGCCCTGAGGCTCAGAGTGTGGGTTTGCTCACAGTGGAAAGGAAAAACGGTCGCTGTGTCCTAACTTGTACTAGGGGTGGTCAGTCACTACACTATCTTTTCATCATCCAGCACATGCACGCGACCTTCTTTTGGCCTGACTATGAAAATTGCTCATTGGGGATGCAAAGAGATTTGCCTTTATCTTTTAGGTGATAGAGAGCCAAGACAGGATTTGTAGAAGGGAGTGAAGGGCTCAGATTTTACTCTAGGAGTCTTTTTGTTAGAATGTTGGTCCAGGAAGGCATTGCTGGAGGCAAGGGTCCAACTGGGAAGCCCAAACAAGGGCAGATGTAGCAGGTGGGGGTGCATTTGAGAATGATGGACAGTTTTCATTCCCTTTCAACTGTAGCCCATAGGAAGATAAAACATCTTATTTTATTCTCCAGCACATGTAGATATATGCACACACAAGTAAAACTTGTCACAAATATTGCTTGTCTTTCTTGTGGATGAACTTTAATATCTTTCATTTCATTAGCGAAAATGTTGGTTACTACATGCTAAGTTGCTTTCATAACATAATTTTGGGGAAAAAAACTTATCCAGGGAAATTGTTTAAAAATAGTAGGATTTTGTCAGTGATTTGCTATTTAATGTGAGGGAGTGGAAAACAAATTTCCTGGCATGAGTGAATGGTGTTTCTCCCAACTGAAATCAGTTCTAGGAGGGGAGACATTTGAGAGCACTATATTCCAGGCTTCCTATAGCATGAGAGATAGCAGCTTCTCACCATTATTACTATCTCATTGTGTAATTGCTGTAATTTCAATAGCAATATTGTATACTACTTTTCTCCAATAAGGCATGTATTTCAGGATTTAATAAGCATTTCTTACCCAGATTACAAATGTAGTCATTGTTTTCAACATCATCAGTGATTTAGTGGGAGGATTTCAAACAATTGGCTTACATGAAAAATTTGTAAGTTGGGGCCTAACTTGTGTTTTAAGATGCTTATTTAATTAAATGCCTATGTATTAGTTAATAGGGTTAATATTCTGATCTGTTCAAATATTTATTCAACAGTGATCAGATCACGTTAATTCATTTTTGTATGGCAGTTTATGCATGCAGTTTGCTTTAGTTCTGTATACAAATGTATTATTAGCTGGTTATCAGTTTTTGATTCACTTACTTATTTTAAATTTATATAGAACCAGTGGAATTTTATACATGCCCTTCTCCCTGATAGTACCCTGATTTTTTAAACTTGAACTTTTAAAATTTGAATTGTAAAAGAATATTTTCTAAATTGACAGCACCAATGTAAGTGTATATATCTATACATTAAAAAGTTTTTTAAATTAAGAAGTAATAATTTAAAAATTTTTCATGTAGATTGAATACCTGCTTAAGAAACTTACAGAAGCTATGGGAGGAGGCTGGCCGCAAGAACAATTTGAACATTATAAAATCAACTTTGATGACAATAAGGATGGCCTTTCTGTGTGGGAACTTATTGAACTTATTGGAAATGGACAATTTAGCAAAGGCATGGATCGGCAGACAGTCTCCATGGCAATTAATGAAGTCTTTAATGAACTTATATTAGATGTGTTGAAACAGGTAAGAATTCTGTATTACTGTGTTTCTCCTTCTCTCTAGAATTAAACTTTTGAAATGAAACACGTTTTATCACAAAGATGCGTATATATCACTTCTTTTTTTAAAATTTATTTACTGATTTAAAACAGGAATAGAATTATTTTGTGAGTCTTACAATAAGTAGGCTTTTATTTTAAAGAATTACTGGTGCAATTTTGAATACAGTTGAGCATTCAGAAGTTACTATTTTAAAATACCTGTTACTATGATTACTTAAATGGTTTTAAAAATACTTTTATGTCCTTTGTACATCCACATTCATATCTGACCAAAAAGATCCCCATGGCAGACTGCTTGGTGAAAAGCCCAGGTGTTGCCCAGCAGGTATCTTGTATCCTGTTCACAGAATATGCTATGTGTATAATGTAGAGTTGTCTGAAGGATGCTCACCAAAATGTTAAGAAGTAATTGTTTTTGGACTCTGGGTTTTTGTCAATTTTTTTTCTTTATTCTTTTCTTATGGTTGGACTTATTGACTTTTGATTCTGTATCATTTTAATAAAATCAAAAAAGTACTCTTAATTTTGGAAAAAGAAACCTTTAATATTGCAAAATGGCATTTCTCTTACTAGATTGTTTTCTTAGCATCTGCTATACATAAGGCAAGCTTATTAACCAGTAAATAGAATTTATATATATTTATATATGTGTATGTATATATACCCATATCTTTCAAACTTCTTACATTATTATATTGGATAATTTCAATTTCAGATTTTTCTTAGTTCATTAACTAGTTTGTTTCATTTATTTTTTCTTAATGGGTCCTACCAGTACATTTTTTCCCCCATTTTTAGTTTCAACTATTCTCCCCAGTTCCAGCTAACTACTTTTAGACCTACTAGATCTTTATTTTATTTTATTTTTTTACCACTGTTTCAATATGCCTTTCCTTTTTTCATATTTTAAAAAAAATAATAGCATACTTTCACATCATTTTGTACATTTTTCATCTCATTTGTGGGCTTCCCATCACCAAATCACCCATGTGCCATCACCATAGTCCAGTGCATTTCCCTCCCCCACTGTTTTTGATCCCATCCCCCACTCCACCCCCCAAAAATGTTTCTACTACCAGTACATTTTAATTGAGGGTTAGTTATGTAGTAGGTTCCTGGTACTATAAGGAAGTATGGGACATTCCTATCCAAAGAGAACTTGTAGATTCAGTTCCATGGATGAATTTCAGTATTTAAGCTTTTGCTTAAATGCCCATAGATTAGAACTGGAATAATCTATGGGCGTAGAATATAGATAGCCAAGCTAATATATTTAATGATATATATAATCTACCATAGTCTCTCAGTACCTACTAGACTTAGCATTTAAAATTCTCAAACATTTGGGCCCTCCCTGGTGGTGCAGCAGGTTAGAGCACAGCACTAAGAAGCTAAAGCAACTTTAGCATGAATTCAATCTCTGCTCCAGAGGTGATCCACATAGCTTGGCAGACCTCTCCTGTCTCAGCTGCTGCTCCCCTCAGCAGTGTACTTCATCAGTCTGCCTGTTCTGCTCCCCACTTTGTCTTTGGTGAATCCTCTCACTGCCCCTGCACTTCTGGCTTGTACCCCAGTTCTGTATATATAAATTGAAATTAAATCTTAAAAAAATAAATTCTCAAACACTTAAAATTCTCAAGCCTGAACCTGAAGCACTTTGGTTTAAAATAATGTGTAGTTGTGTGGAAGTAAAAATTTGAACTGTACATCTTTGAGGCTGCCATATGGAAAAGAATCATGGGACTATTAATTGTGAGCATGGAAGCAACACTTAGAAATCAGTATCCTGACTACTGGACCAGTTCTTTTTCTGCTCGTTGGAGCAGAGTTCATCTTCCAGAGTAGTAACAGGGTAGGTAAAAATGCAGAAAGTGATTGGTTGAAAAGATATACTTGGCTATGTTGACACCTTTTAGCATTTTCATTGATTGAGATTTAAATTTACTGAGAATCACTGTTATTTTTTTAACATAATAGAATAGTATATTGAACTTCAGTATACCCAATACCATGCCCAGTAACCATCAATACAGGGTTAATCCTATTTTTTGACTCTTGTATTGTCTTGAATTTTGCCTAATAATATTTTGCCTATAAATATTTCTGTGTATTTCCCTAAAAGATAGGAGTTTTAAAAACCACCATGCTGATAACATTGTGGGGTTCTAAGTCTATTGTCTGTACATAGATATAGGGGAAAGTTATTTAAGTGTCTAAAATTCTGTGCACACTTTTCTGCATGTGCTTGTAGGGATTTGTCTGGGTATCATGGCCCTTGGCCTTCATAGATCCTCAAAGTGTTCATGATCCACAAAGGGCTAAAATCACTTATATTCTTATATTCAGGAAATTATATCAGGCAGTGGAGTAGGCAAGAATATTAAGAGACATCAGCTTTTCTAAATAAAAAGACAAGCATTTATATCAGATTTAATTTCTCATAGGGTTATATGATGAAAAAAGGCCATAGACGGAAAAACTGGACAGAACGCTGGTTTGTGCTAAAACCTAGTATAATTTCTTATTATGTGAGTGAAGATCTGAAAGATAAGAAAGGAGACATTCTCTTGGATGAAAACTGCTGTGTGGAGGTAGGAGTCTTCTGTTACATCTTTGCCTGGTTTACTTTGGTGCTGCCCCCTGCTGCTCAAGCAGTAGCTCATTTTCCTCTAGACTCTAGAACCTTAAAAAAAGCCCTGAATTTCTTTGCCATAGTTTCTGAAACAAAAGTTAAAGATAACTGCCATTTTTAAAGTGAATTTATCTTACGTTTAATGCTTGTGAAACAGTATAGTAATAAAAGCTCATTTATACATTGAAGTAATAACTTTGGAATAAAACAATCACAAAAAAGAAAATAAACCCCCCAAAAAATGTTCATTAAGGAAGTGTTTAATATCATGAATATATTAGAAAATCTTGGTCATTTTGAACATAATAGATAAAACAACAGAAGATATGAGAATTGCCTTTTGAATAGTTTGGGTTCATTGTAGGACACTTTATTCATACCTTTTAATTCTCTAAAAAAGTCCTCAAGACTTTTTAATTTACATCTGAACTTTATATGGTTGAAGCACACAAAATACTTAAGATCTCATTTATATTTTATGAGTGAAATGGGGGTGTATTAATTCCTTAGGTTGTATAACACCCACCAAGGTGTCTTCTTAGAGTCACCTTGAAATTGGAGACCTGAAGATTAGGCCATATCTGTCCCCTTGGAAGGACAAAACACAGGAACCACAGTTTGACAACACCATGTTTGGTGCATGGAAAGGAACACTACATCAGATGGGTCTGGGAATCAACCTGACTTAGAAGCCTTATAATCCATAGGAGTCAGTACCTGTTGTTACAGTTCCCTAGATAATATCCTCCAGGGTTCCTCCAATAATGAATACCTGCTCAGGAAAAGCATGGCATCCCATCAGATATTGATCTTTCCAGTTCAATATACTAACTAGTATACTCATTTGGGGTCACTCATGCCATAATTAATGTTGCTTACGAAACAGCTTTAATAAATCAATAATTGCATTTATAGGGATTTTTTCATTAATACTGCGTCTTACCTAGGTTTGCCTAAATAATTAAGATGAATTTAAATACTTAAAAATAAAATTTTAAAGAACTAATTTTGCTTCCTGTTTTAGTCCTTACCTGATAAAGATGGAAAGAAATGTCTATTTCTCATAAAATGTTTTGATAAGACCTTTGAAATCAGTGCTTCAGATAAGAAGAAGAAGCAGGAGTGGATTCAGGGTAAGATTAATTTTTTTTTAAAGATTTATTTATTTATTCATACAGAACTGGGGTACAGGCCAGAGATGCAGAGGGT